GCTGTTTTGGAAGGCAGTGCATGCCTGCTATCGCTCATCGTTGTACATCAAGGCTGCGCCCCCCCCCACTCCCCCCGCTGTTTTGTAAGGCAATCCATGCTTGCCATTGCTCGCAGTTCCACATCATATCCGAATGGAATCCAATTTTTCTTAGGCGTTTTTTGTTTTTAAAGTGTTTTTTGATTTTGTTGTTGTAGAAATGATGCAAATTACCTCTTTTGGAATTCTTGAAAGGCAGCCAATACTGCAAACTACAAAATGTGCGGCTTTTGAAAGGCCAGGAACACTGCAAATTGCAGCATTCGGAGTTCTGGAAAAACTGCCAAGACTGCAAATGACAAATTTTTGGGGCTTTTGAAAGGCTACGAATACTGCAACTTGCAGCATTTGGAGTTCTTGAAAGGCTGCCAACACTGCAAATTGCAGCATTTGCGGGCTTTCTCAATTTTCCATGATTTGGTTTTTTTTTGATCCTCGGCCTTGAACCCGCGAGCCCCAATCCTTNNAATCCTTGAAGCTTTCGCCATTTCCACAGGATTTTGTTTTTTTGATCCTTATTTTGATTTTTTTTGATTCCCGGTTTTGATTTCTTTTGATCCTTATTTGATTTTTGTTGATTCCTCACCCTCCTTCCATGGTTTCCATAGTTTCCATAATTTTCACGGTTTTTTTGGTTTCTATGGTGTCTATGGTTTGCATGATTTTTTTTTATTTTCTAATTTTTCGGTTTCTGTGGTTTCCAAAGGTATCATGGTTTCTGTGGTTTCGTTGGGGTGATAATAAAATGAAATCAGAACTCCTGGCACCCGCGGACTACTGGGGCGTAGTTTGGGCCGCTGGTAAGGATCCTTGGACTAATGGGGCGGTAACAAAATCTAATCAGAATTCCTCTACCCTTGTAGTTGGAACGATTTTTGCAGTAATGAGGGTCAAGCTTGGACTAAAGGGGCAAAACTTATCAAAACTTGGATTAATGTGGCGATGATGGGAATTAAATCAGTATTCCACATACCCATGGACTGATGGGGCGTAGTTTGGATTAGTTGGAACGATTTTTGGATTAATGGGATACGCTTGGAATCCCTTGGACGAATGGGGCGATGATAAAGCTAAATCAAAATGCCCACAGTCATGGACTGCCGGGGCGTAGCTTGGACTGATTTCAGCGATTCGTGGACCAATAGGAACGACCCTTGGACATGGAGCGAAGCTTGGCTAATGGAGCGATCATAAATGAAGTCAAAATTCCTCATACCCTTGGACTGATGGGTTGTAGCTTGGACTATTGGGAACGATGTTTGGACTAGTGGGATACACGTGGACTACTGGGGCCAAGCTTGGACAAACGGGGTGAGGGTGAGTGAGAAGGCCTTGTGTACAGTGACACATGGGCATGAACAAGTGCCAGCTGTCAGGCACCAAAGCAGAAATTCGTAGCCCGCAAATTCAGAGCACAAATTGTCAAGCGAACACCGATCACAATCGGCCACTCTTCCAACAAACCTGTACACTTCAACAGCCCGATGTTTCTTTGGGCGTCCGCGTCGGCGGCTTCCCTGTACGCCAGCTAAATCAAAACAATCATTTTGGAAGACACATGTTCTCATGACGTCTTCCGCCGGTAAATCGGCCACACGTTTCAACAACATTATTTGTCTGTACTGCAAAATCGTGGACAACATACGGTGGTTTGCCCGGCTCACAACTTCTGCGTTCGAAGCTCTGGTTATGAACGAATGGGGAATGCGAAGTATCTTGCGGAAACAGCTTGATTGAAAAGCGTCTAACCTCCTCAGCTCGGTTTTGCTGGACTACTGGGCGATGATAGAACTAAATACACTAAATCGCGTACCTAGCCCGGGGAAGAAATCTTGTGTTCCAAAATGGTGTTTTTCTGATATGTGTGTCCCCAAAGCTGGTAATCGATGTTCCAGAATGACGCTAATTTGTGTTCCAAAAAGATGTTAGCTTGTGTTCCAAAGGAGCCATCTACCCAAAAATTGGGTACATGATGCGTACACTTCACAATGCGACGCGTCGAGGTTAAGTTGTCTAGTTACGACTTTACAGTTACAGCAGTGCGGACGGAGAAACTTGGATTTTGCCACATGGGTGTCTTGCTGACTTGCCACGTCCCGCTAATAAGCAACACGCAAAGTGCAGCATAGAAACCCCAATCACACATGGACAGCGCATCGGCGTGGTGGCTTGGCGGCACAGATCTCAGCTCGGCTTCGATGCCACCATTGGCTTTCCGGACCCTTTATTCGCGCGTCGACATCTAGACGGGATGAGTTGTCGACAATGCCACACGCGGCGCGACACCTATATGACTCGGCATCGAGGTCGGCCGTCGCCTTGGGACCATGGCTGCCACATGTTTGCCCGTGCTTGCACGACAACGGACTGCCGCCATGCCTGCGCTGGGAACTCGTTGTGAGGGCCAGTCCTTCTGCCCCATGCGCACAGCAGGCGCCTGCAGTTGGTTGCCTTCTCGTGCCTAGTCTCGCCAACCAGGATTTTTGGATAGTTGCAAAAAGGCGCGTGTGCTGCGATCCCAGGCCGGCCCACACGCAGATTCATGGCTCGTAGCCATCCCGACCGATGCTGCTGCGACGCTTGCCTCAAATTTGATGCGCGCCAGGTGCCATTGTGGACAATCTCGGGGACCATGCCCCGCCCGCGTGGGCGAAGCCCTCTGCTGCGATGCCACTTTGGTGTCACCCATCCAAGGCAATGGCAGCCCCACCCACTTGCACCGGCACGTTGCCGTAAATATGATCGCTACTCCGAGCTGGCCCGCACCATTTGTGCGTGTTTGCTGCTGAGATCAGTTCACGCTTCAATGACGGATTCCCGGCGTTTGACGCAGGGCCACGTGGGGCGCGCCGTGCTCCGGTTGCGTTGCGCGCAGCCGCTGCGTAAAGCTGGGCGCGGCGTTGGTGGGGAGGCTTGGCAGTGGCAATCCAGCGGGCGACGTGCAGCTCCATCTTTGGCATTTGAACGATGCCCATGCTGGCAAACGCCGAAGAGGAGCTCCCCATCGCAGAGATTCCCCAGCTCGCAGCATCTCGCAGCTATCCGGCGTCCAGCAGGCTGCAGCTGCAATAAAAACGGGGGATTAGACAAACAGCCGCAGACGTACAAAAACGCGAGAAAATGATATGGAGTTTGGCAGGAAATGTTGTGAGATGTAAGGATTTCAATTCGAATTAACATGGCCGCGGTGGAGGATTGGCTTGGCCAAAAAACTTTGATGCTTGATTTATTTTTGATACTCATGCCAACTTTTTTATGGTTTGATTTTTCAAATTTTGAAAGCGCGCCATTGGCTCGCAGAAGGGAGGGACGCGTGTGGTTCCGCCGATCTCCTTCTATCCCTTGGCGAGTCGGCCTTACAAATCTGATGCCTAGCGAACCAAGCACCTAGCCAACAAGTTTGCGAAACCCCCAAACTCACAGGATGGGCATAGCAACATCGTTGCCATGCCGGGTACTTACTCAATTATTTAGTTGTCCTGATGTGTGTGAGAGGCCTTGGCAATGATTTGTTGAATGAGGTGAATGCGCCAGAGGAGTTTCACGAATCTTGAACCGTCAAGGCTCGGACCGGATGGATGCATTGAAGGTCCTGACATGTTTGGAGATTCAGTATTGGAGCGATGCACGTTGTCAATTGGCAGGTGACAATTCTGCGTGCACGCTCCGAATTGCACTTGGCCTGATTGGAAAGGGTGATTTTGGATCGGTGGGGTAAGCATGAACAAGGACGAATCGTCATAGAACTATATATTTGGTGCCAGGTACAGATAACAGATGTGTATGTGCTGGACAATTTCCCCAGTCTACGCAATTTGATCAAGGCAGGCGGACGAAACAAGTTCGAACATTTTTTGTACAAGAAACGCACTCTTGCAGTTTGCATGATAATTTCTCAATGCCATGTGTGCCATGCAGGAGCAGAGTCTCGAGCTTGAGCGCAGATGTGGTGGTCAAACCATCAGCAAGCCACCAAGCCTGGCTTTCTGAGACGTGCTCATGTTGGCAAGGATACCTGCCAAAGATGTACAGATGTTATGTTGCCCATGGTGTGGTAGATGTTTCCGTTCATGCTAATAATTATTCGTGTTCATGAAAATCAGGTATGTTGACCGGCGATTTCCTTGCCCCGTACCTCCTTTCGTCCATTGACATGGGTGTTGGTATGATGAAGATGTCTTGGCCTCGTTGATGTGATGTTTTGAGGCGTCTACATATACCAGCTGTGTGAGGTGTAATGGGACCCCAATAGACTATTTGACATGGGGCAACCATGAGGACGGTCGCGGATTTGCATACACAGCAGGCTTGAAACAAAAACTTGTGCAAACCTTGACAGGATGACATTCCTCACCACGAAGTTATGAAGCGAGAACGAGAATATACGGGAGTGTGGATCAACACAAACATGCAGCGGGCCCCCCAGATGAATGTCAAGTTATGCATGATGTGCAATGCTTTCATCATACCAGCAAAGTCAGGTCACACGCCTCCTTCAAAGGCTCCACGTGCCAAGTTGACGCTGAGGTGATACAAATCGTGCCAAGCGGCTTACACGACAACATGTGAGAAAGCTGTGATTCGGCTCAAAGCGCGGCATGTCCAGCAATCAGGTCACGAGACGGAAACAACAAAAGGCGCATTGGCCTGATAGGGCTGCTGAGCAATTCGTGGGTAACTCAGGTTGTGGAACAAAAGATGTGGCAAACCAGAAGCTCAACTGTTTTGACAGGCCCAGCCTTTACAGACCGGGAGCTTTTGGTGGAGCTGTGATCGAAGATCCTTGGGAAGTGATGGCGAACTACAAGTTGAAATTGGAGTGGCCAGCTTCGCAAGGAATCAGTCTCAAATGTGACGGTAGCAAGATAAGCTATTTGCAAGAACGTCTCTAGTTTGCCGCGGCTCAGTCAAGCCAAGGGGAGAGAAATCTTGCGATGTTGTGGTTCCGCTGTGCCACCTGTACGAGCCGCAGGCGCATGGGTGTGGCCTGTGGCCCATGTACCCAGTAGCTACGTTGTCAATCAAGGTTGGTTCAGTCTTGGATTGGAGTCCGAGAAAAAACGGAAGTAACCACGGTTGTGCTGCTTCCTGGTCCCCCCACCTGCAGGATGAAAGAACTTGCAGAGAATTTGATTTCCCAGTCGTGCTGAGCGGGCATGCTGCGGGCTCAGCTTCAACAATGCTCACATGGAGCTGACAAACGGTACGGCCAATATGCATGTTTAAGCTTATAAAGCTCGTCGCGAAACAGGCTTTTCCTGGTGGTCCCGAATAAGGGTGGATAGTACAGAAGCGGTTCGCACAAAATAAACATGCGGGCGGTGCCTAGTGTGCAGTGATGTGCATTTTTTTGGGGTGCAGCGTTGTTTTTTGCCAATTCTGAGTCGGCATTGGGGACTGGTTCCCATCCACAATGACTGGTGGGGGCGCACCAAGCAGGAATTGACAGAAATTAATCAGATTTAATCATGGTACCATCTACAGGCGCACCCTTGGTCCAGGGGCCCCAACCATCAATTGTTGGACACACCTTCCTCTGCCAAGCCTAGTTCTGCCTAGCTTCAGCACTGCAAGCAAGTGTTGAATAGCCGGGAGGTGTGCGCGCGCGAGCGTGGGTGTGTGTGCGTGCGCGTGTTCAGGATCATCATGTCGTAGACCGCCTGGTGGGAACCTCGTTATGATATTGTTGTGTTTGCAGGTTCTGTATTGGTGCTTGCCAGGTGGACGGCACACGTTTGCTGAAACCAGGGCAGGATGGCATCAAAGCAGTCATCCTTGTCGGGCCCCTGGGTCCTTGCAAGCTTGGATCCTGCACAACTCGTAAGTGAACTCTCGGTGAGGATTTGACTTGGCGGAATGCAGTGTCAAGCTCCCGCCCCGATATAGAGGCAGCAAGTGGCATGATGTGGCACGGTGAGCACATGCAAGATCAAAGTGTTTTTGATCATGGCCCCGGGCTGGCAGTACAGAATCGTCAATGTGGCGGACTGGCCGCCTGATGAGGATCTGAAAGAAGTAGCTGTCGGAATCTCAGGAAGCCCTGCCTTTCAGCAATACTGACATGGTTTTCAATGGCTTGACGCGGACTTCGTGTTTTGTATGTGAGGGATGATAAGCTTGTGCCTATCGAGGAAGAAGCTTACCGGGTCCTCGATCCGCTGAAGAGGACTTCGTTGTTGGGTCGAATCTTGAGGTTTGATGATGTGTAATTGTTTGCCTGGGAAGGACACAATTGGCACAAGTGCCGCAGGCTTACAGGCCCCTTTCATCAGCTGGGCGCTCTGTTTTGCGGCACGCAGCCCTGCCAGCAAGATCCTAAAGTACAGGGTGCGCAAGGGCGGTTATGAAAGTATGGTTTGCCTTGCTGTGAAGGTTTGAGCTCATAATCTTGCCCAAATGGTTTGAACTCAAGTTTCAACGTCACATGACGTTCATGGCCTGATCCTGTTTCTTGTACCCGTATCCAATATCGCCAGCATCATCTGACCTTGTTTGCTAATAGCAGTGCTGTCTGTCATGGGCATTGTCCACTCATGTACACTGTCTTGTTCTCGCAAACGCAGGGATGCCCTTTCTGCACCGTTTCTTTGCCTGCATGACCAGTCTAGTGTTTGAGATGCGCAGAGTCTTTGGCCTAGGCGCAGTCTCGCGGCCAGCGAGTATCCATGGGCTGCAGCCTTAGCATTGGTTTTGTGTAACAGGGCATCCCATCAGCACAGGTACATACCTGCTCTCGAGAATTCGGGATGCAATGAACATAGACATGCCTATAGGCAACGCTCTCAGTTTGGCACATTTGGGCGGCGGAGTTGCTTGCCTGAAACGTTACAAGCTCAGGTGAGAGATATGTGGACTGCGCTTTGCTAAAGGCTTCTGCTGACCGTGCTCGCGAGCAAATATCAAATGCCTACCTCAGAGCTGTAAAGCTGCAGCAGTGCTGGCCTAGCAATCATAGGGCTTTGGCAAGGTGGTACCAAGTTCCTTCTTCAAACGCAGCTCACACCTTTCCTTGTTTTTTTGACCTGTGCTACCTGCTGCCTTGGCTTCTATCCTCATTTTATCGATTTCGTTGTTACGCTTGAAATTGCTTCTTTGCTGGACCGTCAAGACAACGGCCGTAGGAGGAGTGCAGACAGAAAGGTGACCTAGCACATATGTCAGCATGTTATGCGCTCTGTTGAGCAAGAGATTTCACGAGCCAGCTTTTGCGCAATCTAGCCAGGGTGGAAATGTCCGCGGTGGGCGGACATATGCCGACGATGAGCACATCACCCTCGAGGCCATGTCTCGCTTCCTCGTGGCCTGTCCACAACATGCTGGCTGTGTGACGCCCAGGTACTGCAGACAGAGCTTGAGGAGCCCAGCACCTGGATACAGGCAGTAGGCCTCGATGCCAGCTGACACGGTCACCTGCTCTCGTGCTGCATTTGTCCAAGGACGAAGCAGATCTTGGTTTTTTGCCCAGCGGAAACTTTGCGTGTTCGTTTTTGGCGGCCCGCTGAGATAACGTGAGGTCATCCCAGTTCCAGGATCCATCTTAAGAGTTGGACTGCGGGAGACTTTTGGAGCTGCTCGGAGCTAACAAAAAGTGCAGTTTGTTCAGCCCATTCCTCCCACCAGAGACTGCGTTGTAAGGTACCGCAGGTTCTTTCTTGTCAGCTGAGGCTCCAAACCCGGGCTGGATGCAGCACAGAGCCTGGCCATCCCCTGTTGATATTTGAGGATGCAACTGGCCATGTATACCAAGGTACGATGACGAGGTGGTTCTTGAATGGTGTATCAATAACGCCTACATTTTGTGCCTTGAGGCACCAGTATCTGTCGGTACGTTGGATGCAGGTTGAGCTTGACGAAGACGGCTTCGTTGTCAGCATTGTGGGGTGCCTCAGAGAAGCGCGCCAGATCTACAGTGCCAGAGCGTTTTCTCCCGTTGATCTCATGTTGCCTCCCGGAGTATTTGGTGGCACGAGTGGAAGCCCTCAGAGTCTTAGACCTCCATGGCGGATCTTCAGAAGAAGTTGGTGGAGAATGCTACTCATCTCCGCTATGTCTTGAATGTACCCGACCGGATTGCTTTTATTTTTGTTTGGGTTCATGCCAGTGTTGACATGAAATGCACCTCCGCTGATTGCGTTATCTCTTGTTTGCCCTTATGCAAGGCGCGGTTGATCAGCAACTTAGGACAAACTTGGCAGCATTGCTCCTGAGCGAAAGGGCTTGACTTCTGCGGAAGCGCAGAAGCGTTTGGAGGAGTACGGTCCGAATGAAATCCCAGCCATTGAGACTTTTGGCAGAAGCTCTCAGCCACCGGGTTAGTAGGCAGGTAGGGCTTGCTGCAGCAAGCTCAATGTGTGTATGGCTGTGTCAATTTGTGGGGAGTCTAGCATAACTCGTTAGAAACGCGTCCCAGCCAGGCGGGCGGGAAAGCCTATTAGAAATGAGCCAAGGACCCCAATTTGGAAGATGATTCTATCACAGTTTGTGGGAACAATGCCGATCATGCTAGAAGTCAGCTGCATCATCTCAGCTGCAGCTGGAGACTGGCCGGATTTCTTCGTGATTCTGGCAATGGTGCTCGTCAATGCTGCGCTCGGCTTCCGTGAGGAGATGAAGGCAAAGCATGCCTTGGAAGAGCTCACAAACCAGATGGAGTCTTCTATTCCTTGTCTTCGTGACGGCAAGTCGGAATCTCTTCCAGTGTCTCAGATTGTACCAGGTGATGTGATTCACTTGCGAGGGGGTGCCCTTACGCCAGCTGACGTTGAGTGGCTTGATGGGGATGTTTTGTCCATCGACACAGCAGCGCTGACAGGAGAGCCCCTTCCACGCAAATACCCGAGCGAGGAATATGGCAAGTTGATCCTTTCAGGTACAACAGTCAAGTCTGGCGAGGCCTACTGCGTGGTGCGGGCCACAGGAATTAACACGGAGATCGGGCAAGGTCAGGCAGACATCATGGCGGATCGGGCAACAGCCTCGGTATCCGTGTTCGAGCAGAAAGTGATGGTCGTGGTGAATATCATCATCTCGCTGGCGGTGTTAGATGCCATTTGCATTGTCTTGGTGCAGGGGCTGGTTCGTGGTGGCTTTGACGTGGACTTCAAGGGCACTTTGCTAACTGCCCTGTCCATCCTCATTGCTGCAGTCCCCATTGCTTTGCCTTTGGTCCTGCAGGTCACCATGGCCATCGGTGCTTACCGGATGGCAACGGACCACCATGCCATTGTCACAAGAATGTCAGCTCTTCAAGACATTGCTTCCATGGACGTCCTGTGCTCAGACAAGACTGGAACTTTGACCACAGCTAAGATGAGCATTAACTTGGGCATGATCTGGCCAGCCAAGAAGGATGGCTTTGATGTTGTCGATCCTTATCTCTACCGTCACCAGGACCAAGAGCTGGCACAGCAGCAGCTGTTGCTTGTGATGGGAATCATGAGCTCCAACGCGGACAAAAAAGACGATGCTATTGACGGTGCCCTTTTGCGGGCCTGGGACAAGATGAAGCAGGAGCAGGGTGATGCCCCTTCCAAGATGAAGGAGGGTTACTCGCAATTGGACCTGACCGGCTTCAATCCTGAAGTCAAGAGTGCCTGAGCTTAACTCTGTCATGTTGCATGGCCGAAGCCTGCAATTCTCAAGCTTGTCCAAGCGTTGCTTGCAAGGAACCGTTGCCACGGTCAAGCGCCTCTACGATGACAAAAAGTTGATCATTGCCAAGGGCTTGGCCTCCAAGGTCATGGATACCTCATCTGGTGGCCAGGACATGATGCCATGCACTCATGCGCTCGTTAACATTGAAAAGGGATCAGACGGCAAAATGTTCAAACAAGGTCTTTGCACCTCACAGCAAACGAGCCCCACAGTGTGGGTACACCTTTGGGCGTGAAATGCAAGCGCATGGCCCTCAAGCTTGTTTTTTTTTAATTCAGTTTGCAGCACGAGGACTCCGGCGCCCTTCAGTGGGTCTGCGAGGAATGCAAGGAAGCTGGATTCGTGGACATGGTTCAGAAGAAGGATCAGGAGACAAGGGCAGCTTGTTCAAGGAACAAACAGGGAGTATATCTTGCGATTTTTTGTGGTGCAACGGGCTTGCACAGAAGCAAACCACGAAGGTAGCCTTTGGACACATGTTTGCGCAGAACAGATTTCAGAATTCATCCACATGCCCCAGTCACGGTTCGACTATTATCTCCACCAGAGATAGTTGCAGGCACGTAGATGTTTCATGGGTCTACTACTCCCAAACTGCGTTTCGGTTTTGAGTAGAGGTGTGTACCTGAGCAGGCAGTTGCAAATGGAAGCAGGCCCAGGTTTCGACAGGGGAGTTCCCAGAGCTAAGACAAGCCCTTACAGGTCTCTTGTGTGTAAGGACATCGCAATAGATTGCATATTCGGGGTGCGCTCTCAAGCTTGCATGCGATGCGCAACCCATTGACTGAGGGCATGAAGGAAGGCTGATAAGACTTGAACCGCTACCTTGAGTTTTTCTCCAAACCACCTTGTATTACCATCTGTCAATCCAGATCATTCCCCAAACAGGAACCGTTTGGGGTCCTCTCCTCAGAAGAAAAGAAGAGCGCGGCGGCTGGATGCACGCGGTGGGGACCTGTGGGCGTGTAGTGGGCCGCACTTAGGCTGGATGGGCTGCACGCGGTGGGGACCTGTGGGCCCGCGGTGGGCCCGCAGAACAAAATAAGAGAACGGCGGCTGGATGGGCTGCATGCGGTGGGGACTTGTGGGCCCGCGGTGGGCCCGCAGAACAAAACAAGAGAACGGCGGCTGGATGGGCCGCACGCAGTGGGACCTGTGGGGACGCGGTGGGCCCGCAGAACAAAACAAGAAAACGGCGGCTGGGTGGGCTGCACGCAGCGCGGAGCTGTGGGCCCATTTGTCCCGCGAAGCAGAAAAACACGGTGGCTAAATGGGCGGCACGCGGCGCGGAGCTGTGGCCCACGGTGAGCAAACACAAGCTTCTAGAGAAGCGAGTCAGAAGCAAGACGGCTGTTTGTTATGACGTCCATCGCCCAAAAGGCCTAGCATAACCCATGTTTCCTGGATTTTGTTGGCCTGCTAAGCCAGCGGTTACACGCCGAAACGGGTGTTTGTTATGAATTCTGTTTTGACTCGCAACGGGTGGTTCCTCGCGGGAGTGCTTAACAGAATTGTTTTTACCCAAATAGGGAACGTTTGGGATCCCGCTCCTTAGAACAAAAGAAGATCGCATCGGCTGGATGGGCGTCATGCGACACGGACCTGTAGGCTGGCTTGGGTCCGCCTGGTACTGCGATGTGGGCCGGCCCTGAGCTGCGTGGGCGCCGTGTGGCTCGGAGCTGTGAGACGATGGATACGCCATTGGATGGGCGGTGCATGGGTGGGGATTTTTAGTAGTCTTTGGTTTTTCAAGCCCGTGAGACGGGCAACTAACCTGGAAATCCAAACTGTCTGGATTTGCAAAGGCTTTCTGAATCCCGTGAGTTGAAGGCCGGTTGGCGCAGCGGCATCATTGCCGCTAGTTGGGGTTCCTGCCCACCGCATTTGATTGGTGCACGTAGTGTAACACTGGTTTCCGGATGATGATGATGATGACAACGACGTCGGATAAAGATCACCATGAATAAGCGGAAGGTTTGTTGGGGATGATCATGACTGGTGTGATAATGAAAGCGATGACGGAAATATGAACCAACGAATGAAAGAATAGATAAAGGTAGTAAGCCTTGTGTACCATTGCCGGCCCTGCAGCTTGAAACATGCCGACAGAAGAAACAATAATTACTTCAATTGCAATGCGGCGGCCACACCCAAAATGACTATGACCTGGCCGATGCTGTACAGCAATACTGGCACTCATCATAAGAATTGTTTTTATCTAGCATCCGAATGGCTCCGGACATGATTTCCGATGATGATGATGATGATGATGATGACGACGATGGGGAAGCGGACGATTATGATGAGTAAGCTGTGCTTTGCATTGCTGGTGATGATACTTGGGATGGTAGTAAATGCCGTTTTAAATGCCATGTTGAACGTAAAGTTGTTAGCTTGACACGCAAGAGCCACATAAATACGAAAGCAGTCAACCAATCCAAGCAATCCTTTTGGTAATTATTGAATTATTGCTACGTGTGCATTCTACTCGGAGAAGTTTTAAACGCCAACTATAGCTGATATTCACGCTTTCATTCGCGTGTTTTCCATCCATGCTGTTTGGGGGTTTCGCCGGCACTAATTTCAAAGAGCTGGTGCATGTCTGCTCATGGAAACCAACTCCCGGAAGTCATGAATGTGCAGCATTGTCAAGAGGAGCTCTCAGCGGCGGGCTACAAGACCATTGCGGTTGCTGCAGGGATCGAGGGTGAGGGTATGCACTTCTTGGGATTGCTGCCCATGATTGATCCACCTCGATATGACACGGCTGTCACCGTCCGAAGACTCATGGAGGCAGGGGTTGAGGTGAAGATGATAACGGGAGACCATCTTAACATTGCAATTGAGACGGCTCGTCTGGTGGGCATGGCCACCAACATCTTGCCGGGAGAGGCCACAAGACAGGGAGGACACACTGGAGACGAAACCATCCGCGAGTCAGGTGGCTTTGCTCAGGTTCTTCCCCGTGACAAGCGCGAATGCGTGCTAGCTTTGCAAAGATCCTATGAACTCGTTGTGGGAATGACAGGAGACGGTGTGAACGACGCACCAGCCCTCTCTGCTGCTCAGTGTGGCATAGCAGTTGAAGATGCAACTGATGCTGCAAAGAATGCGGCGGCCATGATTCTGACAACAGAAGGCTTGTCTGCTGTCTTCGGCGCTGTGGTGGAGTCGAGGAAGATTTTTGCTCGCCTGTTCTCCTATGTCGCCTACCGTCTTGCAGCCACCATCCAGATCTTGCTATACTTGAGTATCCTCGTGTATGTCTTCGACTGTACATTAGATCCATTGTATGTTATTCTGCTGGCGCTGTTCAATGATGTGACCATGATCCCCGTGGCAGAGGACAACCAGACGGCGGCTGCAGAACCACAGCATGCACTCAAGGCTGCATTAGGCAGACATGTCATGTTTCAGGCAAGGTTGGCCGGATGTGAACTCGTTCGGCACCATCTCAATTGGCTCCCTTTTGTCCATGGCTGTTGAAACATTGATCCGTGCTTGAGCCTTGTGATTTGCGTTCCGTACTCTAAAAACACAGAGAGACAACAGAGCCAAGGCAGTGATCGGACACTTGATTGGCTTCTCCACGACCTTGGGAGTGTTTCAAAGCCTGGCGTCCATCATCTTTTACCTTTCTATGGATATGGGCCTCGTCAAGGGAATTGAGAGTCACACAACCGCCGGGCATTACCCCAGAAGTGTGCATGCACAGAACGCAATTTGGCTTCAAGTCCGCCACTTAGCTTTTCGACTGCTACGCAACTCATTTGCTACCTGTTATTAATATGCCTTTGTGATTCAGGTGTCCATTGCGGCAGAGTTCTTGATTTTTTCCGCTCGATCTCCGGGGTTGTTCTTTTTCAGTGCCTTGTCTTCGATCTACATGGACCTACGCTTCAGTAGTGCTATGGCATTATGGCCTGTCTGCTTCACTTTTGCAAGCGCAGGCCGGCCTTCCAATGAGCTTCTGGTATCTACCATGCTTGGCAATGTGGTGTCCACCTTGCTGGCCCTCTATGCCTTCCCAGAGCCTTTGGATGGTCAAGAAGTGGCCATCATTTGGTCATTCGACATCCTAGCCCTCCTTGCGGTCGACCTTTCGTTCCTTGGTCTGTCGAGGTTTCATTTCTGTGCATGAGGATAGTAGTCCAAATCAGCCGTCAAGCCATGCAACAACACCCCAACCAGGAAGATGGTCTACAAGTTCATCCATGAAGCTGATGCGGCAGGTGTCATTGACGAGCACCAGCTGGCACTTGAGGATGCGGAGATGAAGCATGGAGACGTCGCTTGCCTGCTTTAACATGGCTGGAGAAACATGAGTTGAGTTGTCGTTCTTTCACAGCAGTGGTTACCATTTATTTTCATGCCAGTTGTTATCTCGCTGATCTGCTTTAGCTGCAGGCAGAACTTTTGAAGTGAATTGGAAAATGACCAATGCTGTCATACCAAGGAGAGCAAGCCAATCCCTGACCCAGAAGCTCATATCAAGAAGTACCGCGAGAGCGTCAAGATCATGCAACGCAAGAGCCAGCTCATGAACCAGAAGCGTGGGGCGTCCATCAAGTTCCTTGCGACAGGTGCTACCAGTTCTTGATTGAAGGTAACACTGCAACCCTACATGCGGTGAGCGCAAGTTTTCGTGTGCTGTTGCGGCACCTTTGATGTGCACAAGTCACTACATACCTTCTTGCAGACTCAACGTCTTAATTTCACGAGGTCCCATGTCTTCAGCCCATTGAAGCACATTGCCTCACCCCTGGTCAGTTCGTGCTTGAGCCCCATCTGTCCCCTTGCGCCTGGCCCTAGTCTTTCTGTCCGTGACCGCCCTCTCATTTCAGAGGCAACTTGCACTGCAACTCCTCGTGCCACACAAAACGGAAAGCAGAAACTGCACCCAACACAGGGCAAAAAGGAAAAACACTCGTAAGGCGGGGGGGAGAAGAAGAAGTCAGGAACCACCAACCAAAATCAACGTTGACAGCTTCAACTCCTTTGGTGCTGAAGAGATTGGCTGCCCATGTGACTTGTGGTCACGGTTGGCTGTGTGCCGTGAACATAAGATCCTGAGTATGTGGGAGACATCATGTGGTACCTTGGACAGCCTGCAGGTCAGCAGCGCAGCAGCCGAGTGTTGTCCCGATCAACAATCATATCCAACAAGAACCACACGCAGACGCGCAGCTACTTGCCAGCAAGTTATTTGTGCACGGAGGCGATATCCCACTCCAAATCACGTGTGCCACTCGTCCATCATTCAGGCTCCATCCGAGTGGGAGATGACTTGCGCAAGAGGACGTGGGACAACTAAGCCGCGAAGCTAACCATGAGAGTTCCAAATCTCAACCCATGGAGTAGCAGACTAGCTGCAAGCTACGGCGGAACTATCCTGAAACCAGAGGAAGGAAGTTGTTCAGGAATGCTTGGCCCATTGCATGAGGCGCTGCTCTCAACACAAAGACGGTTTAGCGCGGCAGAGGAGGTGTGATAGAAGCGAGAGTGAGGGTATTACAATTAATGAGGAGGAATGAGGAGGAGAGAGCAGTAGCAGGAGCAGAATTGCAGAAGTACCAGTAGTCGCTTTGTTGAGGCCGCGGGGAGAGAAAGAATTGTCTCGCATGCAAGACATGCAGCATTCGGGCAGTCTAGGGAGTGAAGCAGGACGCCAGCCAATTCGGTTCGGTACAACAACTGAGCTCTTTTCCAGAGTGCCTTTGGGCGAGTATAATTTGTGGATGAACTTCTGTTGCACAGGGCTTCCTGGATTGAAGCGAGCTAGCAAAGGAGGCAGTTTCTGTGATCACGAGTCTCCCCTGTGGGATGTCTCGGGTTGCCGTGCCGATGCCAATATGGCTGTATGATTGGGACGTTTTAATATGCACACCTCATTGGTTGATCTTGTATAGTCTGAAAGAACGGAATCGATTTCGCGAAGAAAGCGAAGCATGTGCGCTCTGAATGCAAAGAGGGCCGCTGCAGCTCTGCAATGTCAATGCTGAGGGGCATAGAGTAAAGAAGTTGTTAGGCGCCCTGAATGAGCTTCAGAACATCATAAAGCACGCTTTTTCTAGGCCCTCTCTCTTTCCCCGCAAATACAAGTCATGCAAGATGCAAGCATTCTTGAAGGCTGGAGAACCTCTGGATCCCGATCGAAAGTACAAGGCCGAGATGCTTTAGATGAGCTATAGTCTAAACTCCTCAAAGGGGATTATGCAGGGGGTTATATAGGGGACTGTTGCAGGGGCAATTAAGGCCAATACTAGGAGTTTTGATTATAGTTCAGATCTTGAGTCGCGCGGTGTATCCGGCAGGGTCACTGCCGGAAAGGCAGTCCTTGGAACAGACTTGCAGCTTTTCAGAAAGGATGCCCGCAAGAGGGCAGAAGACGCTGGTGAGTTTATGCTTTTGGCCGCTTTACTTGTGAACAAGAAAAACACCTCGATCATTTGTACTTGCGATTGTGTCATTTTTCATTCCTATTTGCTATTACTGGTGTCGATGCTAACATTGCTATCAGTAAACACGCTGCAAATACTCGCTACATCTTACTACGCTGACTGCTCCTCCCTATTCTTCCAATGGCCAGTGATAGCGCGATACCAATATCATGAACCACCTTTTTTTTTATTGCTGCCAGTCGTGCCAGATGTGTCGTGAGGAAATGAGAATCTGAGTTTGGCAGCAGGTCGCCAGTATTGTGGATTTCTGGCGGAAGCGAGATGCGCCTAGCATCGGTCAGGCCCTGAATCGTGAAGGAATGAAGGCCATTCTATCGCTATGATTGCTTCATAGTAGTGGCATTTTTGTTCATACTTCAGCCATAGTGTTTGACAGAACGTGGAGTGTTGCGGAAGTGATCTGGGGTTCTTTTGTGCAGCTTGCTGCTAGGCCGGCCATGGTGAACAGCAGCCGCTTTTGGGCATGAGTATTTGATCCAGTAGAACCTGTTGCAGCCAAGAAGCCAATGGGTTTCTAGATGCGAAGCCCTCACTATCAAAGCTTTAATGTACTGTCATGAAACTGCTTAAGGCAGCATTTCTGTCAAGCCAAACTCAGTGAGGTCAATATTTCGAGGAGCATCCTGAGGAGCTTCCTGAGCTGGACTCTGGGAGGCCTGGCAGTCGGACTGCAGGCTTCACTGAGACCTCTAGTCGTAATAGTAATAGCAACAATCATAGTAATAGCTTTTGCAATGGTAAACTGCATGTAAACGTAAACAAAGATTGTAGACGGCTGGGACCTGTTCGTCTTAGCAGTCGAGTCGAGATTAGCTACTGTCAACATTCAGCTTACCACGGGACTGGGCCCTCTTGTCGTTTAGTGTAGTTCCTAAAAAAAATTCCTCAAGAAGGAACTCAGGTCCATTAATTCCATAAGGATTGTAGCTTAGATGGTGTTTCAGGTCCTTTCGGGCAGCTGGAGACGTCTGCAAAATTCAGAATTTCCCCAGTAAAGTATCTCCATGCGGTATGCTTGGCTCATGATGCGGTGGTTTTGTGACATTGCAGCTCAGGAGCAGATGAGTTGCACTTGTAGAGCACGAACAGGACCAGCCCACATGGGCCAAAGTCCGAAATACGTGAGCGTAACTGTAGCAAGGATTGCTTCGTCTGCACAATCGCAAATTAGGCATTACTCATCTGAGTCAAAGGTCTTAACTAGCACCACAGCATTTTGGCTGATGAGGCTGTACGCTTGTAGCGTACTGCCACTGTGCTGCAAGGCCCGTACATGCTCTGCTTTTTCATTTCTTCGCGATGCAGGTTTGGCATCGGACTCAGTACGTCACAGGAGATTGCTCGGCCACAATTTGAACTAAGCAGGGCTGAAAGCCCCAATGGTTTGGAGTTTAGACTGCTGTCGTTGCCATTCTAATGCGATCACAGTTCGATGTTGTTCTCATCATGGTATGCTTTCAGCTGCCTGGCATTTCTAACTCAGGAAGCGCATTTGGAAAGCTCTTGGCCTCAACAGCCAGAACCTCAGAGATGACATCCTAGCCGCCAAGCTCGACACCGGGAGCTGGTTTGCACAGGCCAGGGCGAGATCACCAACAAAGAGGTGGAACGCATGCGAGATGATCAGAGGTAGCCGTTCATGCTAGGCCAGCAATTTCTGCAGGCTTTCAAAAACCTGGATGCCGACAAAGATGGTGTGGTCTCAAAAGAGGACCTGAAACACACTCTTAGAGAGGCGCACTTTGACATGTCGATGGGCTTGTGTGTTGAGTTGAAAGGTTCGCAAAAAGGAGGCTTCTGGGATTGTAATTGCGTTTTATGACTTTATGTTCTTGGAATTCCGGCCACGAGACGACAAGGTGAAGGGATTCGAAAACGTGTTCGAGGGCATGGATGTGCTCGTCGACAGCATGCTCAGTGGAGCGCTGAGCAGTGTCATCAATAGGGTACATGGCTGCCATAAGGTGCAGAGACCACCACTTTACTACTAGTGCAGCAGCAGGACGAAAGCTTGACGCGCTACGGCATCCTTCGCTAGCACATGCCAGAATGCCTTCCCAGCAAACTTCTCCACCGAGCAGGTAACATCAAACTACAAAAACTGTTCCACCCTAATTTTTCCGCTACTACCCAGGCAGTGAAAGGCCACATGCACTTTTATCTGCTTTCGGTCCTCCGCATGATGCAAGTAGTCAAGTGCAACCAAGTTGTATTCCTGGCGACGTATCTGTGCCTGGGACACTCTCTTTCCGTCTCCTTGTCTTGCCTTGCCCCCCAAATCAAGTCTTCGGATCAGCACAGGTCCAAAGCTGAGTCTGTGTCATGCTGTGGCACTAGAGTGCTGGGAGCAGAGCACGAGCTTTGTTACAGAAAGTGAGCAGATCTCTGGTTGAATGCAATGTCGAGGCACTCTGCAAGACTCATTGACTGGGCATGCAACACGGTTGTGACTGACCCTTTTTCTCTCTTGTGTGCATCGTGAATGCAATCTGGGTATACTGCCAGATTTTGCAGGTCATGGAGAAGGCGCAATTGTTGGTCTCCGTGTCTGCCACTCATAGCTGCAAGGCGAGATTGCCAAGTTCGGGGAAGACACTTCGGACAAGAACTCGGGCCTCAGTCTGGGCCCTGGCACGCTGTTGAACGTGGCAGGGTGCCATTTCATAGGGTGCTGTTTCATTCGGTGCAGTCGGAAGAGAGGAAGCCGCATAATTTGCTGACTGAAGTAGTTACTAAGCTGATGGCGCAGAAGCCGCCAGATCCTGCATCTACACTAGGACTGTGTTTACTCAGTTGCGTGAACGAGCCGGCCAGTGATGACGCGTTTGTAGTGCAACAGGGTTCAATGACCCCTCAGCATGTTAGTCGGTCACAGGAGTGGTATGGAGTGGCTGCAGGTGAAGAAGCCATCCAAGCTGCTGCAAAGCATTGGTCCAGCCGAAGTGCCTGCCACAGACTGCCCATGGACGTCTGTGTTTGTGTGCTCTTTGGCAAAGTGCGAGGATGGTGTAATCATACCTATTGTAGTAGTCCTCGTAGTATTATAGTAGTAGTACGCGCGCTTTATGTATTTGATGACCCGTTATTCT